CCTCTCCTATTTCTCCTCCCCAAGACCCAAGCAGAAAAACCCTAAGAAAAGGGAGAAGCAGTCAATTGAAACTGAGGCTGTATACTCCTTTCTCCCCTATTTCAAGTCAGAGACATAAGTCTGGCCTGAGTTAGAGGAAGGGAAAGGGGATTGGGTGTTAACCATCAAAAAAACAAAACTGTTCAAACACTCAAAACTGACAATACTAATAGAATTGGACTATGATGTCAGTAATAGAAATTGGTACCCGATGAGATAGGGGAAACACTAGAACATAGATACTGGAAAACATTATTTTTTCATGCTTATATCCCAAAGAGATAACACTGCTCAGTAAATTGATTTCATAGTGATCACAGTGAACAATATTGTTGCACAAATTTATGGTGACAAACCAACTGATATCCAGACCCATTCTCTAGACAGAAAACTCCTGCTGTCTTCCCACTTCCTTCCCTCCTGTAGATAACACCTGTGTTCACCTCCCCATCATCCATTCTCGCTTCTGCAAGAAGAGGTCCAGTAATTTTCCATGCTGGGCTTCTTGGCAAGTCTTCGACTTAATCTCCAATCAGCCCTCCTACCATCACCCTCTACTTCTGGTGCCTAGCACAGCTTCCTCCCTTGGACTAGATGCATTTCCCTTCATTTCTGTCTTCTGTTTCCATATAACCCTAAATCTTATCTAGGACCACCATATACACAACTCTAAAAGGATCCATTCAAATAATTTCTTATATTAACGGCACTCCTGGAGTTTCACAAAGCACAGTCTGTATATCTTCATGCAGTAGTCCTACTCTTAGAGCTGACATATGAAAATGTAAGTATTCATTACAAATCACTTTATATTGTTCCATAAACCAGAAAGTTGTCTTAAAGCTTTTGTACCTACGATAGCATTTTAGTAAAACACATAGTCAAATCATATTTGTTGCTAATTAATTTTTTGATTTATGATCCCAGTACCTTGTATTGTTCAGTAATCTGTATGATGATCAGCACATTAATACCTGTTATGTTTGACCTCATGAGGAATATAAGCAAAGTGCTACACAAGTGCTATCTGTTGTCACATGGTTATCAGGAAATAAGAGAGTGGCTTTCACACGAAATTGTTCTAGAGACATATGAGAAATTAAAAAGTAGGAGTTTGGTGGTATTGAAATTAGAGCCATCCCTTAGTCCATAATTTGGAGCTCTGGTTAGACTTAGAACTAACAACTATCAAAATCTTCTGCTTTTATTAAAAACAGGCACACACAGTGTCTCAAATATACCTAAAACCTTATCAGGCTTCTTCATAGAGCAATTCATTGCTCTCCAGATTCCAGTCTAATAATACTATAACAAAGGAAGCCTGCTATTGAGTTTCAGTTCCACCTCCACCCTCTGCCGCATCACCATGAACATCACACACACACACACACACACACACACACACACACACATTTTGAGCCAACATGGGAAATGTGGGTAGCTTAGAAAGCTGTTTGGATATAGATTTGTCAATTTTGGTCAGGAACCGAAATAATTCTATAAAACTGAACTATTCTCTTCACCCATACCTCTTTCTGAATTTCTTATCTCAGAGAAAGAAAAATATCTCACCACACAGTCATTCAAATCGGAGACCAGGAGACCATCCCTTGGCCCTACAATTCCTTCACACTTTGTATTCAATCAGTCAACAAGTCCTGTCACAGAAATCTCCTTAACCTTTGTCTCTCCCCACCTCATCTTCAGTAATGCTGCCTCAGTTCAGCATCCATCATCATCTCCTGGATAAAGATGCCCCCTACCTGGTCTCTGTCTTGATTCTCCCCTCCCCAATATGCCTACCACATTGCCCCAAAGTAATGCACAAAACCAAAATAATTCTTAAACTGTTTTAAAAATAAAGACTAATGCCACAAAGGCAGAGACTATGACTCTACATCACTTTTTCCAGGCACCAAGGACAAAAGGACCAAAATATGTGTCAAATGAATGAGTGCCAGGCCTGCCACCATGCGGCCCTTGCCTCCACTTCCCTATCTCTTACTGTACCATCTCACTGTTGTCACACATCTAATCAGTCAAGGACTTTCAGTTTTCCCAAAAGTCCACACTGTTTTATGTTTTGGGGTCTTTATCAGGAACACCATACCCCTTTCATCCTTCTCCATTTCTAATCCTACCATCTTCAGGCTCCCTTTTCTGCCTTCTGACCATATGCCCCCCTTTCAAAATCCCACCCCTACTGCCTTTCCTGACTGTCTCCCCCACTCTCAAGCAGAATAGAGCACTCTTTCTTTTGTGTCCAACTCTCCACTCTTCATATAGAATCTAACTTCCAAATGCATTTACTTCTTTACATATTTGACATACACCTCCCTAACACCCCTCAACTGTACAGTGAGTTCTTTGGAGACAGGACTGCATCCTGGGAAGAGGGAAAAAAAGAGGAGTGAGGGAAGGATGAAGTAATGAATATTTGAACACACATACGCATACAGAAACTCTTCCACTCCCTTTCCTTACCCTCTTGCAACCAGTTACCAAATCCTGTCAATTCTGAATATCTCGAAAAGTCCTCCACCTGTCTCTATGCTTAGTTCATGTCCCCAGCATCACTCACTTGGACTCCTACATAACCCTTTGCAAAAAGAGCCACTGTGAACCATTGTGTAGGTTGTGCTCTGCTTGTAAGCACCCAGCCTTGTCAGGGGCAAGGAGAGTAGGGGTGAAATACAGTCCAAACTCAGCTCCCAAGATTGAAGTTGAGGGGGCACTATTTGATCATTTCTCTGCCCAGAGGGAACACATTTTTCTAATTCACAAGTTGTTTTTCTAATTCACACAACATATGTGCTAGCAACGCAGCCCTGTTTCAACCATTCTTCACCATAGAGCCAGAGTCTTTCTAAAGTACAAATCGGATGCTTTTACTGTCCTATTTAAAACCTTCTAACGACTCTCCTTTGTACTCAGTGTGAAGTTCAAGCCCCATGATATGATTGATAACGTCTTTCATGTTCCACCTCTGGTTTACCACTCCAGTCACAGTTCTCACACCTCACATTGTACTTGTATATACTGAGCTCCATCCACCTTCTCTGTATCCCCAGGCTACATCTCCATCCCCCTCTCCATCACCCATCCACTTCCACATTCTGCTGTCACATGAATGACTCATGCTTATCTGATGAGTCTTAGAATAGATATCACTCCCCTGGGAAGCATTCTCTAACTTCTCCAATCCCCCTTCTGACTGGGTTAAATTCCTCTCACATCACCTCATTCTCACCCCGGGGATAACACTTAACATTTTATGTCTTAATTGACAATTTACTTCTCCCTTATTTCTTTCCAGTTGGTGATCTTTTTGAGGGCAGAAAACAATCTCTTATTAACATTATATCCTCTATACCTATCACTATGCTCAGAAAATATTTGTTAAAGGAAAGCACGGAATCTCTCTTATCCAGAGTATCAGTTGTAATGAATCAATCCCAGAGCTGACAAAAGTACAATAAGAGGAACCAGTAACCACCTTACTCTATAAGTTTACACTATAGGAAGACGATGTTATACCTCTGGACAGTAAGGCTAAGTCACCCCATCTAATAAAAGTATCTTGAATTATATCCTCATTGTTAATGGAATAACAAACTTTGGCTTAACATTTTCTCTTAGTTAATCTCCCAACTAGCCTTCATCTTCTATTTAGGTTCATTCAAATTGTTGATATAAATATAGTTCTGCCTAATACCTTCCTCCAACCCCAGCTGTTTCTATGACCCTGTTTACACCTGACCAGGATTTTACTTTAGTCCTTCAAATTAATTTCAAATATTTTAAGGCCCAGACTCATTCAACAGTAGCTAAAAACGTATTTCACACTTTAGAAATGCAGCCCCTCTCCACTCTCCTACATCAGCTGGCCGCCCTTCCCATACTCCTACATAAACAGCAACACTGACCCACCCAGCTGCCTGAGGTCAAATGCAGAAGTCATTTTTTCTTTGAAATGCTGTTCCTTATACCTGATTTTTCAACACTGGCTCTTTCTTTGCACATCTCTGTTTAAATATCTCTTTGGCTAGGCCATCTCTGTCAACCCAGTCCTAAGCATCAACTCAGTCACCATCCTATCTTTCGTTTTAAAATTCTCTGTATAGCTTTTATTTATTTTCTTCATTTTTGTACCAAATCTTTTTTTTCACATCTTTATTGGAGTATAATTGCTTTACAATGTTGTGTTAGTTTCTGCTGTACAACAAATTGAATCAGCTATATGTATACACATATCCCCATATCCCCTCCCTATTGAGTCTCCCTCCCACCCTCCCTATCCCATCCCTCTAAGTTGTCACAAAGCATGGAGCTGATCTGCCTGTGCTATGCAGCAGCTTCCCACTAGCCATCCATTTTACATTTGGTAGTGTATATATGTCAGTGCTACTCTGTCACTTCATCCCAGCTTCCCCTCCCCCCACCCCGTGTCCTCAAGTCCATTCTCTACATCTGTGTCTTTATTCCTGCCCTGCCGCTAGGTTCATCAGTGCTTATTTTTTAGATTCCATATATATGCGTTAGCACACGGTATTTGTTTTTCTCTTTCTGACTTACTTCACTCTGTATGACATACTCTATGTCCTACCACCTCACTACAAATAACTCAATTTCGTTTCTTTTTATGGCTGAGAAATATTCCATTGTATATATGTGCCACATCTTCTTTACCATTCATCTGTTGATGGACACTTAGGTTGCTTCCATGTCCTGGCTATTGTAAATAGAGCTGCAATGAACACTGTGGTACGTGTATCTTTTTGAATTATGATTTTCTCAGGGTATATGCCCAGTAGTGGCAGTGCTGGGTCATATGGTAGTTCTATTTTTAGTTTTTTAAGGAACCTCCATAGTGGCTGTATCAATTTACATTCCCACCAACAGTGCAGGAGGGTTCCCTTTTCTCCACACCCTCTCCAGCATTTATTGTTTCTAGATTTTTTTTTTTTGATGTGTTCACTTACTTTAATAACACTGCATTTACCATGTTATCATCATGGAATGTAAATTCAGGTTAGACAAGAGAATTTCACAAGTACAACAAAGCATTCTGTAGTATACCAAAGTTTGTATAATGTCTGACCAAACCAGCTTGCTCATAAATCACTTACATTATAGGCAATTTATTTAGTTTAACATTTATGATTCTTACAGAGAAAATAAACATAGTGCACACATTTAAAAAGTGTTTTTCATTTACCCTTGCATTGGCACTTAAAATTCATATTTCTATTTCAAAATGACACAAAAATTATTCTAATATAACAGCAGCAAAATATAATTCTGCAATTACAAAAGAGCTAAATGGGGATCTACAGTTAAGTTATTCTCATGTTTACAACTATGATTCTGAAATAAATACTACTTCAAAGCAGCTCTCTTACCAGCTTTTTAGGTTTGGCTTAAAAACACACATATAGTTGCCAGGAGGTTTATAATGTTGTATTCTGTGCACTGTTCTGAAAGGGTTCCTCAAGAGCCAACCAGCCCTTAAAACAGTACTCAGTCCACAAGGCAGTCAGAAAGAGTTAAATTAACTGGGGTAAATAGGATTCCTATATTACATCAAAAGCATATGATATTCTGCAGCAACTGGGAGCATTATCAGGATTGGCATGTTGTCCTCTTTACAACTAATTTCATCAGAAGAGTTTAAGAAGGTGGACATTGTACCACTATCAAGTGCATTTTAAAATGACATGTTTTTGTGCTAATCTGACTCTCCTGAATGACCTAGCTAGTGAACTAATCACCAGTAAACTGGTCACCAGGCAAATCAAGCCTGCAAGAAAGGAAGCCAGTATTCAAATTACCATGTTATTGTCCGACCCAAAGAATTTATTTTCAACATAAACATATAACCTCAATATGAGATGTCTAACTAAAGCAAGCACCACCAATGAGACCAAGACAACGTCTCCTCTTCTAAGGTTTAGGTTTTGCCCAGAATTCTCGATACATGGAATAGCCCATACCAAGAGTCATTGTTCCCACAACAAAGCCTTGGGCTGCCATGCACATGTGGATCAGGTGAACAGACATTTTAGTATTTCCCCTGCTCTTCAATTTATATAATCTATATGCAACGATTGTTGCAAAACCTGCCATTCCAGTGGGGACAAATGGTGCCTCTCTAGCTTTTCGGATAAGTTTAGATCCGTGATCTTCATCATATGAAGAAAGAGAAACATCTGCGTCGCTTGACATAGTGATTGAAGGATCTTCAGACAACTACAAGACGTCATAGGTTCCAACCGGCTTCTGCTGTTTCTAGATTTTTTGATGATGGCCATTCTGACTGGTGTGAGGTGATACCTCATTATGGTTTTGATGTGCATTTCTCTAATGATTAGTGATGTTGAGCATCTTTTCATGTATTTGTTGGCCATCTGTATGTCTTCTTTGGAGAAATGTCTATTTAGATCTTCTGCCCATTTTTGGATTGGGTTGTTTGTTTTTTTTGATAAAGAGCTGCATGGGCTGCTTTACAAAGGAGTCAAGAACATACAATGGAGAAAAGACAGCCTCTTCAATAAGTGGTGCTGGGAAAACTGGGCAGCTACGTGTAAAAGAATGAGATTAGGACACTCCCTAACACCATACACAAAAATAAACTCAAAATGTATTAAAGACCTAAAGGTAAGGCCAGACACTATAAAACTCTTAGAGGAAAACATAGGCAGAACACTTTATGACATAAATCACAGCAAGACCCTTTCTGACCCACATCCTAGAGTAATGGAAATAAAAATAAAAATAAACAAATGGACGTAATGAAACTTAAAAGCTTTTATACAGCAAAGGAAACCATAATCAAGATGAAAAGACAACCCTCAAAATGGGAGAAAATATTTGCAAATGAAGCAACTGACAAAGGATTAATCTCTGTATAGCTTTTAACACAAAGTGATACATATTAATTTTCAATGGAATGTTACAATGTTTATTGTTTATCTTCCCAGCTGGAATATAAATTCCATGAGAGCAGTGACCTAATGGTTTTCCTCACTTCATTAACTAGAAGCGGACTTGGCACACAGGAAATTCTCAATAATTAACTGTTGAATGAATGAAGAGATAAGGGAAGAATGAACTGGTTATTTTATCAATGTCCTTTTGTATGAGGATTTAGAATCAGGCCAAGGAGGGTTATTTAAAGTATTTATGTTACATAATATCTAATTTTTATCTTTTCTGGCTCCTCTTTAGAGCTTAGTACATGAAAACCTTGGCTTCTGTCATTTGCTAGAAGAATTTTCACAAACACACCCATGCAATCAGGACCAATATTCAGAAAAGAACATTACTATCATCCCCAGGGACCCCTTTCTGTTCTCCAGTCATTATCTACCCAAAAGTTAAACATTATCTTGATTTCTAACAGCATAAATTGTTTTTACCTGTTTATGTACTTTATATAGGTGGAATAATATAATACATATTTTTTTGTGATTGACTTCTTTTAGTGAAATATCTTTGTGAGAACCCTCTATATTGTTGCGTGTAGTTGTATTTTGTTGATTCCTTAGAGTATAATAAGAGCTTTTAAATTCAACACTCTATTATTAACATATTGAAATATCAGTTCATTTATATATTCATGTAATAAATCTAGAATCTTTCCAATTTTTCACTCTTTTAAAATAATGTTCTCTATGATTAACACGCCTATAGCAAAATCTTAATTTACATCTTCAGTTGGTTAGGAAGAATTTCTAAAAGAAAATTTTCAGAGACCAAAAATAAAACATTTTCCCTTTTTTGATTAACATTGGCAATTTATTCACAAGAAGGTATTAGCAACTCTTTTTATTATCAACTGTATATGACAGTATTTGCCTCCCAAAGCTATCACCAAAAGTGGATATTACTGTCCTTTTAAAATTTTTGTCAACCTGACAAAAAAGTATGTCATTAACTCATTTTCTCAAGTAGAGTATCTTTTTCTTATTGATTAATTGAGTAAAAGTTAATTCTTGGTCTATTCAGGTTTCCTATGACTGATTCTATTGTGATAATTTGTATTTTCCTAGAAAATTGTCTGTTTCACTGAGTTATTTTAATGGGTATGTAGTGGTATTTTGCCATTTTAATTTGCATTCTCCAAATGACTAATTCATTTACATTTTAAAATGGATTAGCAATATTTTAAGATTCTGCTCTGAATCTGACATTAATTCTTGAGATTGGTTTAGACCTTGCATACATAATTACAAAGGTTTTAAGTGCTTGCATATATATGAAATACATTCTGTAATCAAACTATATCTTTTTAATTTTCATGCAGAAATTAGAAAATTAATTGTGGATTACAGAGCCATCTGGTTGCAAAATGTGTCCCTTTCATTGCCCTTTGGATTTAGCTCATCCAAAGGACCATAAAAGCATTTGTGGCCTCAGCTTTCAAAACTGTGACCTCCACTGAAAAGTAAGACCTTAAAACAGAAAAGTAGGAAAAGGAATGAGCTGTCAGTAAATGTCACTAAAGGAGGCTAACTGGTGAGATAAAAAATAAGGAAGGCTTTAGGGTGTGGATCTGGGAAATGAAAGGGTATGTAATTTCATAGTTAAATTATTAGAATATTTTCCTAAGGCCAAGAAAAGAAAAAGTATGTTAGAAATAGTATTGTTGCTATTAAAATTAGTCTTTAAAAGTCCAGATTTATTTACAGAATAACACTGAACATAAAGGCAGGATTCTATTCAGTAAAATAAGGGATAAGAGATTAAAATTTTTTTATTGCATTTTCCATTAAAAAAGGAGATAAAATGAGTTTCAACAAAATATATATAAAAATGAGACTTCTTAAATACTTGAGTGTATTACTTAAAGATCTTATGAAGAGTTTTCTTGGATTATGGTTTAATAATTATGTCAGAGATAATTTAAATGTGATACAAGCTGTAAGTAGAGGATGAAGTAAATTTTAGAAGAGATTTTCAAGCACAAATTTTGATTTTTCAGATGAAAAATGATCTTGAAATTATTTTTGTTTACACTAAGTGCTACTGGCAAAGTTGCTTTTCATAAGAGTTTTATGGGCAAATAAATACCTATGAATCAATAAATTAATTAATAAGAACCACTAATCCCTTAATTCATTCAGTGAACATTTAATTATTTGTACTCAATTTGTAATCAGAAGATATGGATCTAAATATTAGCATCATTTTTATTAACTACATGCCAGTTTTTTTCTGTAAATTTGTAAGATATGGAGAATAATACTCCAGGGTATTTTGAAGATCTACATATGGATAATATATGTAAATTTCCTAGTGTAGGGTCCAGCAAATAGTTAATACTCAACACTCTAAGTTGTCCTTCCCAGTTTTTTTTTTTTTTTTTTGCTGTACGCGGGCCTCTCACCGCTGCGGCCTCTCCCACTGCGGAGCACAGGCTCCGGACGCGTAGGCCCAGCGGCGACGGGCCACGGGCCCAGCCGCTCCGTGGCACACGGGATCCCCCCGGACCGGGGCACGAACCCGCATCCCCTGCATCCGCAGGCGGACTCCCAACCACTGCGCCACCAGGGAAGCCCTGTCCTTCCCAGTTTTAACTGTAAAATTATGATATTAATTTATATCTACAAGAGTTGTCATGGGGAATAAAAGTGAGGTACCTACTGTAATGCATAAGCACCTATCAAAATGCCTGGCACACAGTAGAAGCTCAATCATTCTGTTCTCTCCTGATTTCCTATCATTTCATTTTTATGTCAACAATATTTGCTAAGCATCTACTTATGTGCACTGGATCTTGAGCAATGAGGGTAAACAAGTCAAATGTGATCCCTGCCCTCACAGAATTTATAATCTGGTGTTGAGGGAAAGACAAATTAGTCATTTAATTACAATCAGATGGTACGAAGAATGCCTTCATTACCAAATCAGCTTTTAACTCTGCCAATGCAGTGTTAGGCACTGGGAATACAAAGGTTATATGTGCTTGCTTTAGTTTACTTTGAGAAATTAATTAGGAAAGCCTGTCTACAGCATGATCACAGCTGTCTCAATGAGGTCCTGACCACCCCTCAGTCCCATCTGTCATTTGGGTTCTATTGTTTCTGTGTAGGTTTGTTTTTTGTTTTTTGTTTTTTGTTTTTATGGTACGCAGGCCTCTCACTGTTGTGGCCTCTCCCGTTGTGGAGCACAGGCTCCAGAGACACAGACTCAGGGGCCATGGCTCACGGGCCCAGCCGCTCCACAGCATGTGGGATCTTCCCGGACCGGGTCATGAACCCATATCCTCTGCATCGGCAGGTGGACTCTCAACCACTGCGCCACCAGGGAAGCCCATTTCTGTGTAGTTTTTATCCTTCTTGGCTCAGAAAGTGATTAATGTCTGTCAATGAGTATTTTGTTGTTGCAACATTCACATTCCTAAAATGTGAGTGGTAAACTGTTGTTTACTACAGTTCAAGTGGAGGGTAGCATCAGCATTCCTGGCAACAGAATGTGGCCCAGTGAAGGGGAGATGCTAATAAACTCTTCAGCTGGTTGCTGTCATAGAAAATCTCTTGCAGGTTCATGCAGGTGTAAAGCAGCTATTTACTTGAAGTGATTTTTAGAACACTGTGTTCAAGCTTACCTGCCTGTGCAAAGCTCCCCTATGGCTTACCTTGGACTCCCTCTTCCCCTCCTTCATTATCTACTTCCCATTAGTAAATTCATTTCTTCAGGTTCAATTCAATATGACAAATATTTATTAAGTGCTATTGTGTGCATATCCTCCGTAATCTAACATTTCAAATGTTCCTTGTGTGGGAGCAAAGTTCTTAGCCCTCCATGAGGTAGGGAAACCTATAAAAGATGCTAAAAGAGAGACCATCAGCAGAGGTCCAGTAGTGCCAGTACACTCAATCAAGGAAGGTGTGTTAAGCTGACAAGAAAGGCCTGGCAGGGATGGACATGACTAAGTGCTGAGCAGTATAATGCTTCTTTTGAGCTTATTCTACTTCATATCCTCAAAATAATAAGTATTAACATCTCATACATGAAACATCATGAAAGAACCTCTTGAGAACTGTATAAGACATAAACCAAGGAAATGCCTAAGTTCCCAGTGATTTAACACTTGGCCATGTTGTTATCACTCACTTTCCTTATGGAGCACCATTGCTCCCCTTGCCTCATTCCCTACTCTAACATGTAGCCTAAACGAGTGATTTAGGACCTTTCCTCCCTTGCCATGGCACCTAACACTGGACATGCCAGTCACAAAGTCCTAACACCCTGGCCACACAGATTGGTTCAG